CAGCTTATTTTATTCCTGCCTATTGCCTAACCATTTTGTTTGTGTTTATTTTCTTTGACCAGAAACACATCACACACTTACACCATGACGGGAGCCCAAAAGTGTATATTTGTAATTCTGGCAGTTATCACTGCCCGTTCTGCCAATACCAGGGTCAGAGGCTTCAGGTGGAATACCATGCCAAAAGCCATTCTTCTGTGAGGCACAGAGGTATAATAAATTGCTCTTTTTAGTGCTGTCTGTATTTTCACATTATTTACAATGAGAGCTTAATGTCTTCAAGCTTATTGACTTTACTATTGTTTCTTGTTTTCAGAGTTCACAATTGTTAAGTGTGGCTTAAGCTGCAGAACAGCAAGCCATTTTCATTGTCTGTATTGCTCACAGACCATAATTAATAGGGGCCAGTTTATACAGCATGTCTATTCACATGAGCCAAACGCTGTGACTATAGGGCGACTTACAGCACCTGCCCAGCTCCCCCCACCATCTCCGGACAGTGGTAGTTCTGTTTTAGACCACTTGTCTATCTTTTTTTAATCTATGGCTCTGTTTGATTTGAACTAACATGGGATGCATTGTATTTAATAAAAGGCATTGAACAGAACCATAGATGCCACTCGACAGCGGGCTGTTCTGTTTTTTTGGAAGTTCAAGTTTGTTCCTGTTCCAACAGTGTTCAAAGATTTTCTGCCTGATTTTCGAGTACTTATAAAGTTGAATTAAATTGTACTTATTCTTAACTTTCACATGCATTGTGTTCACAGAAACCTTGCTCAGATCTTGTGCCCTGGGCCTTGGGCAAGTCTTGGTGTGGATGATGTCCAGGTTAGATTTGTTAAAATTATTCTACTGAAGAGTATGATGTAATTGTCATTTTTGACACTTTTGACTTTTCACACTACAGGGCCTACCAAGACAAGGGTTCTCGAACAACTGTGGGGTGTTTGTTTTGATGGTAAGATCTGGATATACAGTAAACATATAGTAGTCCTATTTTTCTGTTTATAATAATGTATACAAATGTATACTGCTTTCAGCATGCTATGCACTCCATTATTGCTCATAGTTTGAGACATGCTGTGATTTATTTATATCCAAAACAACATTCACGGAGGAATATTATTTGTCAATGAACACCATAGCATCACAACAACCTAACATAATATACTATTTCTTTATTTACAGTACGCATTTTACATTGTGGCAAGAGCCCAATTTGATTTCAATGAGGTATGTAGAAATAAGGGTATCATATTTCAGTTTTTCATTGATACTTTTCAGGACATGTGTTGTTGACCCATCTGGTTGTGTGCTTTTTATATTCCAAGACAAACATGCAGCAAATTAGGCACTGGTGGTGCCTAGTTCTCCTCAAAAACTTTCCCATGCCGTATGTTTCTTTAATTTTACAATTTACATTTGTATTCTTGAAACTATTTCTTACACTGTAACTAGACTATATCATTTTTAATTAATATTTTTAATGTTTGTCTTTCATTCACCAAGGTCTGAACAACAGAGGTCGCAAGACTGCAAGAGGCGACGGGAGGAAAAGGCAATGCAGGTAGAAGTTGTTGAATCACAAATGATAAAGTCTTGAACCAGTGTGAGTGTTAAACATGTAACCTGTCTTTGTCAAATATATTTCAGGATGAAGAGGTTGTGAGGTTCCACAAAAGAAGCAGGCCATCATTTGAGATGGGGTCATGAGTGACCGCTGCTGGGGGGGACTGTTACAATCTGTATTAGGTTCACTAATGCCTCAAAATGTATTAGTTGTCAGAATCTGTCTGTGTATTATTTTGTCCTGTCTTGTCTGTTGCTTTCTGTGTTCAATACAATTGAAAGTCCTGAATTCAAAGTGTTTCTTAAGTAAAAGAGTATAAGTATTATCAGCTAAATGTACTCGAAGTATCAAAAGTAGGAATGGCTCTGTTCACAGTATTATATTACCATTGATATTATCCTGTCAATTCTATCAATTTGTCAATACGATGGCACTTTTTTAATATATATTTTTAAATACTGGTAGGAAATAATGTGATATGATTTTATTTATATCACATGTTTTTCAGTAAAAAGTCAGTAAATATACAATATTGCCTCTGAAATTAAAATTAAATTAAAAATTAAAAAGTTAAAAAACAAATGAAGGCCCTTTCTTGAAGTCATAACTGAAATAATTGATGCAATTAACATGCAAATAGACATTAAAATATGCTTTGAAGGCTGTTAATGTGTTAATGTTAATTTTAGTTTTACATTTCTAAATGCCGTTGCCATGGCGACAGATCACTCGCCATCATCATTGGTATCATTATATATATATTTATATTAATATGTTAAAATAGTTAATACTCTGACGCTATGATTAACAGAACAGAACTGTGAAGCTCGTCACGTGCCTCAAAGGTTGAGAAGGAGGGGCCGTTAGTCAGGAGGGGCCGTTAGTCACGTGCCTCAAAGGTTGAGAAGGAGGGGCCGTTAGTCAGGAGGGGCCGTTAGTCACGTGCCTCAAAGGTTGAGAAGGAGGGGCCGTTAGTCAGGAGGGGCCGTTAGTCACGTGCCTCAAAGGTTGAGAAGGAGGGGCCGTTAGTCAGGAGGGGCCGTTAGTCACGTGCCTCAAAGGTTGAGAAGGAGGGGCCGTTAGTCAGGAGGGGCCGTTAGTCACGTGCCTCAAAGGTTGAGAAGGAGGGGCCGTTAGTCACGTGCCTCAAAGGTTGAGAAGGAGGGGCTTGAGGTACTGCGCACTGCAGTGAGGGGTACTACCATCTAACCCACGGGACCGCGCCGCCCGGCACGTTCAAGTTACGTGTTCAGCACTACATGCGTTTATCTTTACCATAGATCTTTACCCATGGATGCACAATAACAACCTATATCGTCTTACTGCCAGCCCACGGAGCTGTAATAATGGATATATTGCACATGTTTGCTTTAATTCATAATTTGTAAAATATTATACTACATGGGCTGTATGATCAAAATGTTGTACCGTACATTTTGTATTAAATAAAGTTAATATTACCGACGTTAGATTAACGTCCCTGTAGCTTATTATTGCACTAAGAAGCTTATTGTACTGTATATATATATATATATATATATATATATATATATATACACAGTGCAATAATTATTGCATGCTAAATGAAGCTCTGTTGGATATCACTAGATCCTGTTACAGCGTAATATAAGTACATAACGATTGATGTGTACATTAGCATAATTACTAGCTAGCCGCTAGCTGCTAACTGCCACCTCGTTAATATCAAATCCATCATAATAACATCCATTACCATGCTGTCATGAACGCACGGTGCTGTTACGTGCACGCAAATTGACGTGCTTGATGTGAACGAGCATTTTGGTTAAAGTTGCGCATGCTCTATGAGTGCACATACGGGTACTTCTCAGGAATGCCGGGTAATCTGTGACGTTTCACTCTCTCAAAAGGTGGGCCATTTTATCATCATGCGCTAATGAGCAGCTCTCATAGGAATGAATGAGGCCCCGCCTCCCACGCTGTATCCAGTTCTTATTATACATCCATGGTCAGAGCACGGTGCAGAGTCTCTAGATGAGTTTACAGTAGTCCCTCGTTCTTATTGAACATCCATGTTGTAGTCCGCTGTATAGAAAACTGTAGTTTCCATAGTTTCCCCACAGCAGCAGACGCACATTCATGACGTCCGCTGGCGCATCAGAAACACGTCGGATAGTGAAAGTGCAGTCGGATTCTCTAAAGTACCGCAGTCTCTTCTCCTAAATCCTTTTGAATTCTCCTATCCACTATCCCTTAACCCCGTGACGTTTCACTCAGAGGTCAAGGAATAGGAGTTAGGGTTAGAATTTAGGAGCTGATTTTTGGATTATTGGAACGCAACCCTATAGTTTGTTGTTCGCGTCTACCGTCCCTGCGTAGAATAACAGTAGCAACAAGAACCTGTGGGCTCACTTGCGCCCCCTTCATGCGGCAGAGGTTATGGCTGCCTCCCCTGGTGCTTTTTTCATTGCCGTTGTACGATGAGACCAGCGAGCCTAAATATCATATATACGTGAAATAAGTTATTTACCCTGATGTAAACAAGACGAAAGTCTTTTTCTGGTCTGCATCCCCTTAACAATTGTGTGTATTGAGCTGTACTGTATTGTACCCATTCTGCAATCTGTTAATAACATTTTCAATCAATCAATCAATCATAGACTATGGATGGCGAGGATAAATGTAATAAAGGGATCTACAAACATTACATTGGTGACATACAGTGAGATGGTGCAGGCATGCGCTTAGGGCCCGCTTTCCAGCCAGTTTCTGTGGGGTGACGCATTCTGAGGTGAGGCAGAGCTCATCTGTGCCTCACCTCACCACACAGTAACTGGCTTGAGCGCGCTCACAAAATAAGGGCCCGCGCTAAATTAGTGCCCGCGCTCCAGCCAGTTACTGTGGGCTTACGAGAGGCAGAGCTCGTCCCTGCCTCACTTCTCATCGCTACCCGTAGTTGTAGCGGAGCTCGGCAAATTTGCTGATTTTGACCATAAAAAGCGATTGGAATCAAACAGAAATCACACTGACAAAACAGATCAGTGGAGACATTTTATTATTATTACTATTTAGTTTTTCTTTAGTTGTTTTTCCGTTACATTGAGTATGACAGGTGAGGTTCTGCCTCCCCTGACTGCACGTCGCTGTTAAATATTATATATATATTTAAAACGTTGCTAATAAAACTGTCAGAAAATCCTGTGAGAGAAAACTGCCGCATAATTAACGCATAATCATGATTACTTGAAATGTACTTGCAATTAACAGAGCATAACAATAGAAAGTACATTAATACAATTAATATAATATATACTTAATAACAACTTTAACTTTAATATAAAACAAAGCAGTTGTAGCAGAGTTACTATGGTTACAAAGTGGACAACAACACTCAGCTGTTCTGCATAGTTACTATGGCAACAGGTAAACAAGAAGTTCAGAGACAGAGGAAATGTCTGTGAGAAGAACAGAAAGAGCACCAGAGGTTTTTTCAGAGGAGGCCTTCGAAGAGATGCTGATGGAGGCCGCCCCCCCCACTGCTGTGAGCAGAAACCTTAGACCATCTAAACAACAAATCGTCCCCAAAATCCCGGAGGCAGTGGACGACTTCCTGAGAAATGTCCTCCAGAGAGCGGGCCTGGGCCGGACTATGATCAGCTTCGAGGAGGAGTGGTACGGCTCAGCGCAGAAACTCATGACCCAGACCCTGTGGAGGGCAGGAGTCCTCCTCGTGCCTGATGCGCTTACACACAGGCAGCTGATCCAGGCTCAGCTGGACACTGTGCACAGAGACACAGACCTGCTCAGACAGGAAGTGCTGCATGCAGGGGAGCATCTGCTGAGGACGCAAAGGGAGAGGGATTTCTACCGGCTGCAGTACCAACGTGTCGCCGAACACAAAAGTAGGCTGATGGAGGACCTCCACCAGCTGAAGAAACACCTGCAGTCCTACAGGCCGGCACTGAGGCGGCTCGAGGACACCATTCAGGAGGCTATCAGGAAGAAAATGCTCCTCAGTTTAAAGAAAGACAGAGTTCAAAACTCCAAAGCACTGAATCAGCAGGATTCCCAGATCAAGAAAGAGAGAAGCATCAAAAGTGGCGGCACTGGGCCACAGGATACCGAGGCCCCACACTCAGATGACACCGGAGTTCCCACCTGCAGCAGGGGGCCGGAAACTGAACATGAAACCATGGAAACCCCTCTCAGCCTGTCCTACTCCATCAGAGCCCACAAGCTTCCTATCAGCTGCATCCACCTCCATCCACGAAAACTCATCGTCGCCTCCGCCAGTGATGACTGCAGCTGGAGGCTATGGCTGCTTCAAGCCCACGGGGAGAAGGTGTTAATAATAGTAATAATATATATAAAGCTTTGTATACTATAGCATGTTTCATACCCCTGGTGCAGCTCAAAGTGCGTTCACAACCTCTACACATCACAAACTAAAACAGAGAAAAATAAATTCCCTTCAGGTCAGACGTTAAAACCTTTTTGCACACATGCAGCATAACAGCATAATATAACAATTCAAGGCACACAAGGGGGTAAAGTAGGTATGATAATAACAATATCATACAACAAAATGAATAATGATCGCTCTCAAAGACAAACATGAATAAATAAAAGAATGAAACCTATAAAATAAATGAGTAGATAAAGCAGAAATATGCTGGGTAGCCTATATCTCTGTCATCAGCCATATGTTCTCCCATCATAACAATGCAACAATCAAACCAAAATGTAGCAACTTGATGAGAGTTCTCTGCTGCTGTATGCCACTGTAGCAATGATACATGTGATGGGACTAGAACACTAGATTATTGTTGTGAGATCTGACAGGCTAAGCCAGGCAGGGCTGGCAAACTCATTTCAGTTAAGGGGCCACATACTGCCCACTTTGATCTCAAGTGGGCCGGACCAGTAAAATCATAGCATAATAACCCACAGGCCCTATAACGACAATATTTCTGTTTAAGTGCAAATAAGTAGGCTACAAGTACATTCAGAAAATGTCCACATGTAATGAGACGCAAAACGTTATGAACAAACTGAAATGTATTAAGACAAACAAGTGCAATTTCAAGTGCTACACACATGTTCTTTACAACAGATTACAGTTTCCACCTGAACTGACTCACCACAAAATACAAATAAAAACGTGGGAGCTATTAAGTGAGGAGTTTGAGTTACCTCCCTTGCCTTGGAAATATAGAATTTCTATATTGAAAAAAAGTTGGGGCAGTGCAGCCACAGTGTCACATCAAATCAAACTATTGTTTACCCAATGAAGCTGCTGATTGACATTATAATACACAATGTTCAGTGACATAATAATATACAATGTTCAAATATTTCAGTAGGTTCTTATTTTCACAGAACTGAGGTCACAGAACAGTAGGTCAACTCACTGATTAATTTGCTCCTGAAACTTGACATCTTGTAGCCCTCACAAGGGCATCAATATCAGGCTTAAAATCCTGACTAGCAGCCAATTTAATTATTTCATTCAGGCACTTGTGTGTGAGTCTTGAGCGCAGCTTTGTTTTAATAGTGTTCATTACAGAGAAAACCTGTTCACAAAGGTAGGTGGTCCCAAACATGCTCAAAACTTTTGCTGCCAGGGCTGTCAATTTGGGGTATCCTGGCAAAAGATACCGATAAAATGTGCCCAAGTCCGACGAGGCAAATGTGTCCTTTAAATCCTGATCACATTGTAAGTCGATTATCTCAAGTTGTATGTTGATGGGCAGATCCGCAGCCTTAACTGCAAATGGCGAGCGAAAAACTGCAAACTCTGTCTCAAGCTCACCAAAGACCTGAAACCGCCGCTCAAACTCCCGCAGCAATTCCGTAATTTTGTCTTTGTACCGTCTCATGTCAGCAGTAACTCCGGTCATATGCACATTTCTTAGATGAGGGAAATGAGCAAGGTCACCACTTGACAGCTGTGTGTCCCACAAAGCCAGCTTCAACTTAAATGCACGAATGCTGTCATAATATTCTGACAACTGTTTTGTTTTGCATCGTTATGTTCAGATTATTCAAGTGCTCTGAAATATCCACCATAAATGCAAGGTCCTGCAGCCATTCTGGGTTTTTTAATTCATGTACTGGCTTACCCTTTTCCCCCATGAACTGTCCAATTTCCTCCCGTAGATCAGAAAAATGCTTCAGCACGGCACCTCGGCTCAACCACCTAACTTCAGTGTGATATGGTAGGCTACAGGTGATGTCTTTATCACTGAGGAGGCTGTCGAACTGACGGTGATTCAGCCCTCTGGCTCGGATGAAATCAACAGTTTGGACAACCACTTTCATGACGTGATCCATTTTGAACGTCTTGCAACACAATGCCTCCTGGTGCAAAATACAGTGGAATGTCCAAAAACGATCTCCTCAATTTGCTGCTTGTACTTTCGTCGCAACACCTGCTTTTTTCCCGATCATTGATGGTGCGCCGTCTGTAGTCAGACTGACAGCACGGGTCCAGTCCACTCCGACCCTGTCCAGTGCTTCAACGAGAGCGCTAAAAATGTCATCCGCTTTAGTGGTGTCTGTCATAGGAACCAACTCAAGGAACTCTTTGGTGACCGTCAAAGTCTCATCAACACCACGAATGAATATGGCCAGTTGAGCAACATCTGTAATGTCAGTGCTGTCATCGATTGCAACGGAAAATGCTACGAATGACTTGACTTTAGTTTTTTTCTCGCTATCCAAATCTGCTGAAAGATCGGCAATCCTATCCTTCACTGTATTCCTCATTAGACTAATGTTGGCAAAAGCCTGTCGCTTCTCAGGGCACACGATTTCTGCAGCCTTCAGCATGCATGTTAACATGCATGCTGAACTCACCCTCAGAGTATGGCTTTGAGGCTGATGCTATTTCGTTAGCGATGAGATAGCTGGCTTTCACTGCTGCGTCACTTATATCTCGGCTCCGGGTAAAAACGGCCTGTTGTTTCTTTAGACCTGATAGCAGTTCATTTATCTTCTCTTTTCTCCGTTGTCCTTGCAAGCAGTCGTATTTCTCTCCATGGTGAGTCTGGCGAATATTATATTCTTTGGGCACAGCAACTTGCTGCGAACACACCAAGCATACAGGTTTTCCATTTACCTCTGTAAAAAAAATAGGACGCGGTCCATTTTTCTTGGAAAACTCGGCACTCCGTGTCCACTTTTCTCTTTTTTGACAGAGACATTTGGGGATGAGGGTGTCCTATGGGGGTTATTCCCTATCTTTATGCAAGAGCGTGGTATTTAAATTTGAGAGCATACTTTATGTATTTATTTCCCTCAAACCCTGTCCTCACACTCAAATAGTGCCTGCTTGCGCTTAGATCTGCTCTGCTTCTGCTCAAACTGTAGCTTGCACTCAGATATATTGCTGCTTACAGATTTCCTGTGTTCCAGCTTAAAACCTTCTCCTCGCACTCAGGCTGTTTCTGTGCGCACAACCCTGTCAAAATCCCTCAACCAATAGGAGGCCAGGTGTCCTTGCGGGTGTGTTCGCTTTACTTATTAGAGCGTCCCGTAAGGGCGGTTACTCTTTATGTACTTCACTTGTTTGTTTGTTGTGTGGAAATAACGGGCACAGAGCTGCTGTCAGACGATCAGCTGTGCGGCATCACAAACGGACGTTGCTTCACGTGACGCTCCGGAGGAAAGGACGTCCTATTGCTCTTAAAACTCATTTCCCTGCTTCTCGTGGTTTCCTTGCGTCTCTCCATGCTTCCCTGGTGGGAGGGACTAGTCGCAGGGAAACCATGCAAGTGAGGGACGCAAGGATTCCATTTAATCGACCTGAGATGCAGCCATAGCCTACTTAGCAAAGTCCTTCAGCTCCGCGGGCCATATGTTTGCCATCCCTGGGCTAAGGCTTCAAGAGAATGAGACAGCTAATATAGATCGCAGGTTGAATCACATGAAATTACAAGACATGAGTAAAAGTAAAATAATACAATGGAAAAAAGAGAATTGAAAAGATGGGACGATATAAATATTGCAAGATTAGATCAGATACAATATGACATACTAAGTTATGAGAAAAGACAAACGATTGTTTGATAGAGAATGATTGTGTGATAAAGGATGAAATGAGGCAAAAGAGCTGAAGATAAAGATGAAATGATGCATGAGGAGGTGGGAGGACACACTGGAGATTCTGAATAAGATCCAGTGAGTTAAACTTATATGAGAGGGGGGACAGAAATGTAACAAGGTTAGATTCACAAAGGTCAGGCAGATCAAGTCCCTGAGCGGACTTGAGCGCATTTCCACTACAGCGTGGTTTAAGCGTGCCGTGCCCGGACGTTTTTGGTTGCGTTTCCACTCGGCGTAGTTCCGGCTAGCGGGTACTTTTTCTGTTTTTCTGGCTCTCCAAAATCGAGGTTCTTTCCGGGCCAACAACTGGGCTGAGTATGCTAAACTAGTGAGAGAATCGCTGGCAACTACAACAAAATGAACATATTTGACCGTGATTTAATTGTAATACACGTTTCAAAATGATGCCGAAGTAACAACATACTGATACCGGTTAGTAAAAACCATGGATTAATGCTTTGACAAGTCTGCAGACAGACGGCAGGCGAAACACCTTTTAAAATGCGTGTATCAGTCATTAGCCCGCATGGTTTTTCTTACCACTGCTACGCTGACGACACCCAATTAATTATGTCCTTTCCCCGCTCAGAGACCCAGGTCGTCGCACGCATCTCGGCTTGTCTAGCTGACATCTCTCAGTGGATGTTTGCTCATCACCTCAAGCTCAACCTTGACAAGACTGAGCTGCTCTTCCTTCCGGGAAAAGATTGTCCCACTCTTGACCTAACAATCAACATCGGCACCTCAGTTGTTTCCCCGACTCAGACTGCAAGGAATCTGGGTGTGACCCTAGATAACAACCTGTCCTTCACTGCAAACATCGCTGCTACAACCCGTTGCTGCAGATACACGCTTTACAACATCAGGAAGATACGTCCCCAGCTGACACAGAAAGCGACTCAGGTTCTGGTCCAGACTCTCGTCATCGCACGCCTAGACTACTGCAACTCCCTCCTGGCTGGTCTACCTGCATGTGCCATCCGACCTCTGCAGCTCATCCAGAATGCAGCGGCTCGTCTGGTCTTCAACCTTCCTAAATTCTCCCACACCACTCCGCTCCTCTGCTCCCTTCACTGGCTTCCGGTAACTGCTAGAATCCACTTCAAGACACTGGTACTTGCTTACCATGCTGCGAATGGATCTGGCCCTTCCTACATCCAGGACATGGTTAAACCGTACACCCCAGCGCGTGCACTACGCTCTGCATCAGCCAAACGACTCGCTGCACCCTCGCTGCGAGGGGGACCCAAGTTCCCATCGGCGAAAACACGTGGGTTTGCTATCCTGGCTCCAAGATGGTGGAATGAGCTCCCCATTGACATCAGGACGGCAGATAGCTTGCACATCTTCCGGCGCAGACTGAAAACTCATCTCTTTCGACTCCACTTCGAGCGATAGAACTATTAACGAAGCACTTTTATACTAATAAAGGACTGGCTTACCTAAAGCCAGTTGAGTAGCACTTGAAATGTTTGGCTCTATGAAACCTGATGTACTTATATGATTCTGTTTTCTTCAAGGTTGTGTCTTCCTGGTCGAATGTACTTATTGTAAGTCGCTTTGGATAAAAGCGTCAGCTAAATGCAATGTAATGTGTTGTTATGGAGAGCTAATGCAGTATATGCTCCGACCGTCCACACTCACAACAACGGTCTACAGACATAAATAAACCAGCGACTGTATTCTCCATGACACAGGCAGTCTGTGGTTTGTACTTGTTTAACTTTTGTCTAGTTTCTGAACAGATATGAGGAGCTGTGAGCTCTGAGGGCTAACAGCTAACGGCTGATGTTGGTTTTGTGTTTCGCATTGAAGATGACGTCACGGCTCCGCCTACACTACGTTACTATAGTTACTACCCCAGTTCCTAAACTGTTATGGAAACGCAGCATAAAGTGAGCCTGGCCTACCAAGGCCTGACTATACCGTACTAAGCCGTGCGAGGCCCTGCAGTGGAAATGCGCCATTAGTGTGGACTGGTACTTTCAGGGAACCAGTTCCCCTACTGGGTACTGGGTCCCTTCGACCAAGGTACTGTATATACATATATAGCTACCCACTGCCCCTAACAATATGTCGGGTTAAAACAGAGTCTACATTCAGTGTGTGTGTGTGTGTGTGTGTGGTGCTGTGTGTGTGAGGATTAGAAGTCCTCCAATCCCATTTCCTTACATGAAACGAATGGATGGGACAGTGTGAGGCTAAATCAGACCAGAACAAACATCATGTTATAAAAGAGTTGAACAGACGAGACAAGTCAATGGAGTCACTGTGATTGGCTAAAAGTAATGTCATGTGATGTGTGTTGCAGGTGGGTCAGATGGTGCTGACAGGTGAGGGTCACTCTGATTGGTTGTCTGGCTGCAGCTTCCACCCAGATGGAGGGAAATTAGCAACAACGAGTGGAGACAGCACGGTGAGTTCCTCTCCGTCCCGTGCCGTCCCACAGCAGGACGCAGACCTCGTAGAGTCGTACAGATGCAGCGCATCATTGTGGGCGGTTCCACCTTAGCGGGGCCCAGGCCTGGTTCTACAGGGATGCATTATCATGCATTGCACCCCCAATATAATTGTATGCACCTTCTATTGAAAAAAGAGATGGGAGTGAAAAATTTTACAAATATAATAATAATAATAATAATGGAATTGAAAACAAAACAAATTGTAATTGTAATTAAATGACATTGTCTGCTGCATTCATTTTGTCCACTAACACGGTAAGTAACGTTGTTATGTCAGATGCCTGTACAGCAGTGCAGTGACACTGCATCTATGGATAATCATGGATATACAAAAATGGTTAAAACAACCATCACTACTCGCCAGCAACACTGCATCTACTGCAGACAATAGCAACCAGGTGCAACCAAAGTCTGATTTAAGAGTCGATCATATTTCATATCAATAATCCAAATCTGTATAGTTACTAAAGGCATTAAATAAATGTAGTGGAGTTAAAGTACACCTTTTACCTCTGAATTGTAGTGTACATAGTAGCATAACATTGAAATACTTAAGTAAAGTACAATTACCTCATAATTGTACTTAAGTACAGTAAATCGACTTAGTTACTTTACACCACTGCCTCAGCAGGTGCAGGTGGGGCCCCTGACTGTGGTGTTTCTAACCCCTAACTCTGCAGGTGTTTCTAACCCCTAACTCTCCAAGTGTTTCTAACCCCTAACTCTGCAGGTGATTCTAACCCCTAACTCTGCAGGTGTTTCTGACCCCTAACTCTGCAGGTGTTTCTAACCCCTAACTATCCAAGTGTTTCTAACCCCTAACTCTGCAGGTGTTTTAACCCCTAACTCTCCAAGTGTTTCTAACCCCTAACTCTCCAAGTGTTTCTAACCCCTAACTCTGCAGGTGATTCTAACCCCTAACTCTGCAGGTGTTTCTAACCCCTAACTCTCCAAGTGTTTCTAACCCCTAACTCTGCAGGTGTTTCTAACCCCTAACTCTGCAGGTGTTTCTGACCCCTAACTCTGCAGGTGTTTCTAACCCCTAACTATCCAAGTGTTTATAACCCCTAACTCTCCAGGTGTTTTTAACCCCTAACTCTCCAAGTGTTTCTAACCCCTAACTCTCCAAGTGTTTCTAACCCCTAACTCTGCAGGTGATTCTAACCCCTAACTCTGCAGGTGTTTCTGACCCCTAACTCTGCAGGTGTTTCTAACCCCTAACTCTCCAAGTGTTTCTAACCCCTAACTCTCCAGGTGTTTCTAACCCCTAACTCTGCAGGTGATTCTAACCCCTAACTCTGCAGGTGTTTCTAACCCCTAACTCTGCAGGTGTTTCTAACCCCTAACTCTCCAAGTGTTTCTAACCCCTAACTCTGCAGGTGATTCTAACCCCTAACTCTGCAGGTGTTTCTGACCCCTAACTCTGCAGGTGTTTCTAACCCCTAACTATCCAAGTGTTTCTAACCCCTAACTCTGCAGGTGTTTTTAACCCCTAACTCTCCAAGTGTTTCTAACCCCTAACTCTCCAAGTGTTTCTAACCCCTAACTCTGCAGGTGATTCTAACCCCTAACTCTGCAGGTGTTTCTGACCCCTAACTCTGCAGGTGTTTCTAACCCCTAACTCTCCAAGTGTTTCTAACCCCTAACTCTCCAGGTGTTTCTAACCCCTAACTCTGCAGGTGATTCTAACCCCTAACTCTGCAGGTGTTTCTAACCCCTAACTCTGCAGGTGTTTCTAACCCCTAACTCTGCAGGTGTTTCTAACCCCTAACTCTCCAAGTGTTTCTAACCCCTAACTCTGCAGGTGATTCTAACCCCTAACTCTGCAGGTGTTTCTGACCCCTAACTCTGCAGGTGTTTCTAACCCCTAACTATCCAAGTGTTTCTGACCCCTAACTCTGCAGGTGTTTCTAACCCCTAACTCTCCAAGTGTTTCTAACCCCTAACTCTCCAGGTGTTTCTAACCCCTAACTCTGCAGGATTCTAACCCCTAACTCTGCAGGTGTTTCTAACCCCTAACTCTGCAGGTGTTTCTAACCCCTAACTCTCCAGGTGTTTCTAACCCCTAACTCTCCAAGTGTTTCTGACCCCTAAATCTCCAGGTGTTTCTAACCCCTAACTCTGCAGGTGTTTCTAACCCCTAACTCTCCAAGTGTTTCTAACCCCTAACTCGAGTGTTTCTGACCCCTAACTCTCCAAGTGTTTCTAACCCCTAACTCTCCAGGTGTTTCTAAACCCTAACTCTCCAAGTGTTTCTAACCCCTAACTCGAGTGTTTCTGACCCCTAACTCTCCAGGTGTTTCTAACCCCTAACTCTCCAGGTGTTTCTAAACCCTAACTCTGCAGGAGTTTCTAACCCTTAACTCTCCAAGTGTTTCTATCCCCTAACTCGAGTGTTTCTGACCCCTAACTCTCCAGGTGTTTCTAACCCCTAACTCTGCAGGTGTTTCTAACCCCTAACTCTGCAGGTGTTTCTATCCCCTAACTCTGCAGGTGTTTCTAACCCCTAACTCTGCAGGTGTTTCTGACCCCTAACTCTGCAGGTGTTTCTATCCCCTAACTCTCCAAGTGTTTCTAAACCCTAACTCTCCAGGTGTGTATAACCCCTAACTCTCCAGGTGTTTCTAACCCTAACTCTGCAGGTGTTTCTATCCCCTAACTCTCCAAGTGTTTCTAACCCCAA